GGGTCCTGACAATCCCGTGGGGACAGGCGGCTGGTGGAGATGGGGTGCTGGGTGGGGGGAGGTAGGTGCTGGGGCGCTACCTACCCCTGCAAGCCCAGCTGCCCCCATGGGGGTGGGTGTGTGCACCTGGGGTCCCCCGTGACTAACGCTGCCCTCGCCCTAACAGGGTGGAGACCTGCCCAGCCTGGACGAGGGCAGACAGCCGGCCCTGCTGCTGCTGCAGTGGGTGAAGACCGACCTGGCCTTGCTCATGCTCTTTAGCAACGGCACCATCCAGGTGAGTGGGGGAGAGGGATGGGGAGGGCAGGGCAGGCATGCGGGGCAGGAGCAGGCTGGCTGGGGCACCCCTGGAGCTGGCTTGGCAGGTCTGGCCTGGGCTCGGTCTTGCAGTCCTGGAAGCGCCCTGGAGGCTGGTTTTGCAGGGGGTTGCTCATGTGGGACCTGGGGGGAAATGAGGGGTCCCCCTGAACAGTCCTGGAGCTTGTGGGGTGACACGCATCTCCCCCCGCTGCCAGGTGAACTTCTACACGGACCACACCAAGGTGATCCTGAGTGAGCCCGCTGGCCTGCTCACCTACGTCACCTGGGACCGTAGCTCCTACACCTACAAGCTGAGCAGCCTGCGGGAGCTGGGCTGCGCCCCCGAGCTCCAGCGCCGCCTCCGCTACGTCCTCAAGCTGCTGCAGGACCAGGCCGAGACCTAGGCGTCATCTGCACCTCTTCCCAGGCTTGCAACCTCCATTGCCCCCACGGCTGGCACCCAGCTCTCCCAGGGCTATTGTCACCGCTGGGCGAGGTGACCTTCTCTTCAGCCGGCTGCTGGCACTTGGGGAGATGCTACCACTGGTGCTGTCAGCTGTGCACGGGACTGATGCTGGTGTCTGCTTGGGCGTACCTACTGCTTTGGTCCCAAGTGCAGCAAGCAGCAGCCACTCCCCAGCAGCACCACCCTGGTGTGGGAGCCTGTGCAAGCTCTGCCTTCGGTCTCCAGCCCATGGCTGGGCTGGGCAGGGCTGGTGTCTTGGCAGTGACCAGCACTGCAGCATCTCCCCGGGCAAGACGCCTGCTGCCTCTGCCTGGCGCCTGCCGCGGCTGTCCTGGACACGCTGCGAGACTCATGGAGAGTGTTTCAAGCTGCCTTGCGGCAGGATCACTACACCACGGGGGGGATCGGGGCCCTTCCCCGCAGGCCGTGGAGCAAGCTCCTCCCCCCGCCACCGTGCGTGGCCACGGTACGATACTCTAACGAGGGCAGGGCCCCCCCAGGCTCCCCCTCCCTGCCTGACCTTATTTATGGCTGTTATTTATATGGTGTCTATTTATTGTGGCTCATGTGGGCATGGCCTGGCCGGGGCCTCCTTCTAATAAAGACTTCCTTTTTCTAAAGCAGGAGTCTGTGCTGCCTCGGCTCCCTCTCCCTGGCCCTGGATACTCTCCTCCTCATGCTCCTGCTTGCCCCTGCTGCTCTGTGCCCCCCGGGGCAGGGTTGGCTCCTGAATTGGGCCAGGGGTCTCAGACCCTGCTGCAGCTAGCTTGTCCTTGGGGAGAGGTCTGCCTCCAGCTGCTGTGCCCTACAGCTAGGGATGTTTGGGTTGGTGGCTGCCTGCTTAAGGCCTGCATGCCTGGCCCAGGTCTGGATAGGAGGATGGCGAAGGGCATGCCTACCCTTTCCCCCCCACTCCCTGGGGCTGGCTCCAGCACCGGCTGCACCTGCCATCCCCCATTGTCAGCCCAACAAAGGAGCGGCTGATCTGGGCCACGGGAGCCAGCTGCCCCAGCATCCCTCCAGCCCTAAGAGGGGGGAAATGGGGATGGGGACTTGAGGCCTGGCAAAGCCTCCCCAGGCAGAAGTTTCTGCCCTGTTATCCTGCCCCAGTGGGAGCTGGATACCCTGTGCCTCTGCTCCCATCCCCCCCTCCACAAGCTGGGTTGAAATCATCCATGGGCTATGCTGCAATGGGTGGCTCTTGGGGCAGGGGTCACCTCTCTGCAAGGTCAGCTACCACATCTGGCTGGTGGGCACGGCCCTGGGCTGTGGAGACCCTTATGCTGCCACCCTGCAGCGGGGTAAAGCCACTCCCTGTGGGGACCAGACATGGACATGGACCAAGCGACTGGGGGCAGCATCCTCTTTATTGCCAATGGCCCCAGGACTGCAGCTGGAGCGTGGTGGGGCATGGCCCTGGCGTGATGCAGTCGCTACTCGTAGTAGAGCCCATGCACCGTGGCCACGGCGAAGAGGGAGGCGTTGGTGAAGGTGGCGGAGGCGAAGGTGTCACACTCGGGGTCCCAGAGGGCGCGACTGGCCACGCGTAGCCCCTGCTGCCCTGCCTGCCCCAGCACCACGCTGCAGACCAGCTTGTAGCGTGGCGGTGCCAGCTCCTTGAGCTGCCCCCGCAGCTGCTCGGCCAGGCTCTGCGCCAGCTGCCTGCCCGTGCCTGGGGTATAGGCCACGTCCTGCAGGCAGGCGGCAAGCGTGGCCTCCAGCGCCCGTTGGGCCGGCCCGGCGTGGAAGTGGCAGCCCGGTGCCGGCCGCATGCGGTAGGTGTTCTGGCACCGGGCCTCGGGCACGGGTGGGAAGAGCAGCAGCCCTGAGAAGCTGACGCGGGCCCCCGGTACCCACGGCCCGTTGGAGAGCCGCTTCGCACCCCCACCGAGCACCACCGAGCTGCGCCGGCTGGCCACGGGCACCGCCAGGCTGCCACGACGTGCGGCCAGGGCGGGCAGGCGCCCCTCCTCTGTGCCACGTGGCAGGGCCGGGTGGGAGCTGCGGCGGGGTGGGGCTGGTCCCCCTGGGCACGGGGCCGGTGGCCGCTGGGCCATGCTCAGGGTGGCACCTGGAAGGGAGTAGCGCTGGCCTTAGTGGCTCCGGGCCCCTGGCAGCCGGGGAAGGGCAGGACTCCTTGTCTTGCTGCAAGCCTGGCTCAGGCGCTCGCGAGCCCAGCTCCCCCCACATCTGCCTGGGACCCCCGGGAGCCGCTTTACAAGCAACCCCCTTCCCTCCGCCTGCTTTTGTCCTGAGCAAACAGCCGGCCGCATTCCTCATGTCTCCGGAGAGACGGGAGCGGGGCTGCACCGTGCAGCCTGGGACCGTGGTCCCCAGCACCGAGGGCTGCTCCCTGCACCCAGTATCGGCCTCAAGCCTGGGGTTTGCCCGTGTCCCAAGTCCATCCACATTGGGAGACACGGCCTGGGAGCGGGCAGAGCCCTGGTGCCGGCTCCGGGCCAAACGGCGTCTCTCCTGCCTGGGCAGACATCACTGGGTGACCAGACACCCGCTGCAGCTGGGTCCAGGGCTTCGAGTCCAGACCCCCAGCTTCTCCCTGGCAGGGTTCATTTTAACAAGCCCCTGTTCCTATTGGGGCGTTGCCCGGGCCCCTGCCCCTGCCCGGTGCTAATCCGGCCCCTGCCCTGAGCATCCCGGGCTGGGGCTGGGGTCTCCCGTGCTACGTCCCCGTGAGCTGGCAGGCTCGTGGGCAGGACTGACCAGGGCAGGGGAGCTTGCAAGGCCCTGGCTTCGTGCCCCGCTGGGCTGGCTCTGCCTGGGGCAGCCCCTGTGACTGCCCGGGGAGGGCGCAGGGCTCCAGCCGCGCCAGGGGCTGTGCATTTCCCTGGCTCGACTGCCCTAAAGCAGCTCGGACACGGGGGCTTACCGGGTGCGGGGGCCACAGGGTCAGGCGGTCTGGGGAAGAGGGCTGCTACCTCCGATCCGGCCAGCGCCCAGCCTGGCCTGTGGCTCCCCCGCCC